TGAATTAATGAACTAATGCTGTATTTTACCTTCCCTCCCCCCTTCTTTTAAGCTTATCAATAATGTATGATATTGCAAATAATATTAGAAATGGTAGGTTAATTTTTGTGTATTGATTTCAGCTTTTAATTTATATTTCAAATTATTAACAAGTCATATAAGCAAGAATAAATATAATTATGTGAATTTTTAAAAGCTTTAACTGTAATTCTATCTGCTGGTCAAAAATCCACTTAATCTAACAAAACAGTTCCTCGAGTGGGCCTGTTAGCTGTTCATGACCCAATGATAGGTGATATGGTGAACGCGAACTCAGGAACCTCTCGACATTTCCTTCCCATTACCAAAACCTTGATGACCCAATCGATCCCTGCGAAAAAGATATGTTAGTATTTATACTCGTACGTGAGGCTAAAGAGATTCTGTAACATCAAACTTAAATGCATCAATCTTAAACGCATCAACAACTTAGACTATATCCATCATGTGATGATAATTTTTCTCCATTTATGGACGCTCTCAACTTAATGCCAGACATTATTCATTATATCGATATAATGCAAAGAATTACACAAAACCGGTTTCGCTATTTGACAACGATTAGACTCCACCAACTATATTTGATAGAGCGATAAAGACTGCAACTGGTGCCCGGGATTTAGTATTAATCCTTAGTGGCGTCGCTGCCACTATCTTATATAGAAAAAAGTAAGAGCGACATTCGCGAGTTACGGGCACAAGTAGAGGCATAGCATATAGAGCTTATTGCGTGGATCGAGAGCTAGGTACATTTTCTTGTGGTTTGTAAAACGTGACTCATTGACACTATTTCCCTTTGAAACAGAAAATGGTCAACGATGTATATACAACACTAATTCCGTCCGCCCCAAGGGAAAAAGCAATGTCGTCTGCCTAAAGAGTTGATTATATAAGAACAAATTTATACAAAATTAATATTAAAAGTTCATCGAGTACTTATTTTTTTTATTGCAAATAAAAAAGTTACTGATACTAATGAGTTTTATATAAATTGCAATAAGCATAATTTTATTCAACAATCATGTAAAATTTAACATTTGCTTTAATTGATATAAAACTTGTATTGAAAGATGCTAAATAAATATTATTAAATTCATATATATATACATTCAAGCTCTATTTGAAAGGGTTCATATATACAGGGTTTTATAAAAAAAAATGCATTTTAATAGAAACAAAAAATAATATATTAAGCCTTAAAAATTAAAAAAGCCTTAAAATCTTAAATTTAATTTAATGAATGAATTAGTAGAAAAAAAGATTTAATAGGATCTCTATCTAGTTCATGCTTCTCTTAACGAGTTATTAATTCGGACGCGGTCCGGACCCGGTTCATATGAACCACTTAATATTCCTAAATATTATTTGCAATTATTTGGGGGTGGGGAAGGTAAAAATCAGTATTAGCATACTATATAATGTTCTATTAATCTGTCCAATCCCATAGAATTATCCTGCCCGATCACGACTGTCACAACAAAAAGTCAAAATGGTTTAATTTGCAGATTATCGTCACCTCTAACCTGATGATCCTCAGATCCCTGAATGTCACAATTGCGGCTTGCTAGCATATGAAAGTGTTGCTGCAACATGCAATAATTCGAAGCAACAACTTGCAACATATGACTCGTGAAGATATGGTGGATGTGTTTTATGGAAACAAAAAAAAAGGTAAAAATCTCGCGCAGGTATCGGAGTATCCCTCAAACCATTTCAAACAAGATTGCGTCTAAAAAAAGCGTCTTTACCTGCTGGATTCTTTAATTC